AGTTGATTGTGAATTGGTTAAAACAAATTTTTTTTTTTTTTTTTTTTTTTGCGGTACGTGGGCCTCTCACGGTGGTGGCCTCTCCCGTTGCGGAGCACAGGCTCCGGACGCGCAGGCTCAGCGGCCACGGCTCACGGGCCCAGCCGCCCAGCGGCATGTGGGATCCTCCCAGACCGGGGCACGAACCCGTATCCCCTGCACCGGCAGGCGGAGTCTCAACCACTGCGCCACCAGGGAGGCCCCCTCACGCTTCTTTTGAGGCAAACTATAAATATCTTTCATCTCCCCTGAATATTCTTAGTATTTCCAATTAGGAACTGACCTCTAGAAAACCTGTGCCTTTGACTCCTGGAACAGACCTAGGTTACGGCGGAGGGCATCGGTGAGAGAAGTATTGCTCTGTACCGTTAGCCTGAGTCTGTTTTCCTTACCAGCTTTTCCCCTGAGTTGCAGGGTTGGCCTTGGCACTTTAGATTTGGACTGGTTGAACTGTTCTTACAGTCACTTTTAATTTAAAATAGTACCCTGCCCAGGCTACATGTGTCTGCTGGTGTGAGGGGCACAGATTGGGTTCTGGTGGAAGGCAGGGCAGGGATCCAAAAAGAAACAGGAATTCACTGCCCTCACCTTGGGTTCAGGATACAAGAGCAATAACCTCTTAACTGCAGATGCCTTCATCCACATTTTTTATGTCATTTCTTTTCCTGGGGCTGTTCCTGATTGCCTGCCTTTCTAGTCGATGCCATTCTTATCATCAACCCCCTGCCTTCCTGAGTGCCCCTTTGTAGATTAATCATAATCCCTGATGCACGACATCCTTTGTCCTACTTGGTCCATGCATGGCCCTCTTTTCTTTCGGTGTTTTATCCACCCATCCACGTATTCATTCTTAATAAATGAGAATCTACCAGCCTGACATCCAACAAGACCTGGCCCACTATAGCAACTTTCAGGTATCCACGTGCTCCTGCTCTATCCTGTCACTTTGACTTTCTCCCCTCAGGTAGCTGCTGTTTTGATTTTATGTTTATCATTCCTTTGCTTTTTCTGAAAATAGTTTGATCACGTGTATATGATTGCTAAACCATGTTTTCTTTACTTGTGACTGTTTTTGCACTTCATAAAACAAACAACAGATAAGAGTAGCACACCGTATGTAGTCTTTTGAGCCTTGTTCTTTCCAGCATCATGCTACCAGGATTGCTCTGTGCTGTGCGTGGTCGTGGTCCTGGTAGGGATTGCTGTGTAGTGCTCTGTTGGGAAAGTGTACCACAATGTAGCTATCTTCCTGGTGGTGGGCTTTTGGATTATTTCCAGATTTTGTTTTCTTTCATAAACAGTGTTGCTCTGAACATTCTGGGGCATATACTTAGGACTGGAAGTGCTGGTTATTAGGAGTGCTTTGGCAGATACTGCCAAATTGTTTTCATACATGCTTGTGCCAATTTACATTCCCCCCAGCAGTTCAGTTATTTTTTAGAATGATATCTTTTTTTCGTTTTACTTTTTTTTTGATGTGGACCATTTTTAAAGTCCTTCATTGAATTTTTACAATATTGCTTCTGTTTTATGTTTTGGTTTTTTGGCCACGAGGCATGTGGCATCTTAGCTCCCCTAACAGGGATCGAAACTGGCACTCCCTGCATTGGAAGGTGAAGTCTTAACCACTGGACCGCCAGGGAAGTCCCTGCCCCCAGCAGTTTATGAGAAATCCCATTAATCCACATTCTTTCCCATTGTCAGAAATGTTTATCTTCAGTGCTTCTCATTCTCTTTTTATCCTTTCCTCTCACCCTTGTTTTAGTTGGAGAGCACAGTGCAGCTCCATCAATGTGCCCAGTCGGACTAGTAGGCAAAAACTTAAGGCTGTCATGACAAGCCTCTTTTCTGAGCTTGCATAACGAATGGCTCCAGTACAAACAGCAAATCAGTTCAGGTTCTGGTGCCAGTAGTACAGAGTTTAATAATGTACTAGACTAAATCTCCCACAGATAAAAACTATAAACTCTGGGGAAAATATTTTTTTAAACTATTTGAAGGTACTGGAGAGCAACCCAAAAAGCAGATTAAAACTGGAGGGGATTCAACCCTTGAAAACGGAAACCACACTGGGTAATCTTCTAACTTTTCGATGAGGGCTCTCATGTAAGGGGTAGAAGGGGGGTTGAGTGGGTGGTGGGGTGAGGGGGTGGCCAGAACTCAAGGCACAATCTGATTGACTTGAGGTGTCAAAAGACAGAGCTGTGGGCTGCCAGAGGAACAAAAAATAGATGGGGCAAAAGAAACTAATATAAAAAGATAAACCCAAATATATCTACAAGTACATTAATTACAAAAACTAAGTGAAAATCAACTAAATATACTAGTAAAAAAGCAAATATGGGACTTCGCTGGTGGCACAGTTGTTAAGAATCCACCTGCCAATGCAGGGGACGCGGGTCCAAGCCCTGGTCCAGGAAGATCCCACATGCCATGGAGCAGCTAAGCCTGTGCACCACAACTACTGAGCTGCGTTCTAGAGCCTGTGAGCCACAACTACTGAGCCTCCATGCCACAACTACTAAAGCCCGTGCGCCTAGAGTCGTGCTCTGCAGTGGGAGCCCGCGCACCACAAAGAAGAGTAGCCCCCACTCACCGCAACTAGAGAAAGCCTGTGCACAGCAACAAAGACCCAATGCAGCCAAAAATAAATAAATAAACAAGTAAGCAAATATGTCAGACTGAATGAAAAACCAAGACCCACTATATGTTGTTTTCAAGAGACCGGTTCTAATTATAAAGACACAGATAGGTTAAAAGGAAGGAAAGGGATATGTAATGTAAACAATAAGCACAAGAAAGCTGGTATCACTCTACTAGCAGCAGATGCATTAGGTTTCAAGATAAGGAGTATGACCAGACAAAAAGAGGTACATTTTATAATTATGCAATAGTTCATCAGGAGAAATGCCAATTACAAATAGATATATGCCTAATAACAGAGTTCTGAAATACACAAAGCAAAAACTGACAGAAGTAAAAAGAGAAATAGACAAATCCACAGTCACACATAAAACACTTGGAAGTAAATTTTTAAAAAGGTGTATCAGTTTTCCTGGAACTTCCCTGGTGGCACAGTGGTTAAGAATCCACCTGCCAGTGCAGGGCACACGGGTTCAGTCCCTGGTTGGGGAAGATCCCACATGCCATGGAGCAACTAAGCCCGTGCGCCACAACTACTGAGCCTGTGCTCTAGAGCCCACGAGCCACAACTACTGAGCCCGTGTGCCACAACTACTAAAGCCTGCACACCTAGAGCCCGTGCTCTGCAACAAGAGAAGCCACCGCAATGAGAAGCCCGCGCACCGAAACAGAGTAGCCCCCGCTCACCGCAACTAGAGAAAGCCCACACGCAGCAATGAAGACCCAGTGCAGCCAAAAATAAATAAATAAATAAATTTATTTAAAAAAAAAAAAAGGTGTATAAGACCTCTACTTGGAAAACTATAAAACATTGGTGAGACAAACTAAAGAAAACTTAAACATATAAAGAGAGAAACTATATTCATGAATTGTTGAGATGCCTGGTTCAATGTAATCCTAGTTAAAATCCCAACATGGTTTTCAAAACAGAAACTGACAGGCTGATTCTAAAACTTATATGAAAATGTAGAGGACCTACACTAGCTAGAACAATTTTGAAAAAACAAAAGAAAAAAAAAATTCAGGCTCCCATCTTCTTATGGGAAGCAGAGGGGCAATGGTCCATCTTCTGTAATTGCTTCAAGGCTGAGTAGGGGCCTGTCAGGAAGTAAAAATCTCTGGATGCCTGATCTAGGGGCCCCAGGGGTAGGATAGCTTCTTGTTTTAAGTTGGTATGGGCTGGAATCCTCGCATAGCCATCATCTTGATGTGGAACTGTTATAACGGTTTCCATAGCCTTTCCATGAATCTCCTTGATGATGAAGCACTTTTTGTAACAGCATCAGAGTACAGAAATATCTGTAAATGACAAAAGACTTAAAAGGCATGGTTAAACATCTGATTACATTTAATTTAACATACCTCAGGAGCCCTCTAAGGTATCCCAAAGTTAGCTGGAAATCAAAAGAACTTTAATTAAAATTTGATATTTTAGGAAGTTTGTCAAAAAGTTTTAAAACACTTGCTCAAATAAGATCATAGGTCACTGTGAGACAATACTTATTCCTTAACCAAAGTGACAATAAAAGATTTCAAAGGCAAAAAAAAAAAAAAAAAAAATCAGAGGATTCAAACTACCTGATTTCAAGACTTTAAGCTATAGTAATCAAGACCAAGACAGTGAGGTATTGGCAAAAGGATAGATCAGTGGAACAGAATAGTGTCTAGAAATAGATCCATACATATATTAATATGTAGTCAACTGATTTTTGACAGAGATGCCAGGAAAATCAATGGGGAAAGGAAAGTTTTCAACAAACAGCACTGAAACAAGTGGATATCCAGGTAGGAAAAAATGAACCTCTACCTCACAAACACAAAAATTAATTTGAGATGGATCATAGACTTCAAAATAAATGCTAAAGCCATAAAGCTCCTAGAAGAAAATGAAGAGAATATCTTTTTTGACATTGGGATAATCTAAGATTTCTTAGAAGGAATGCAGAAAAACACTAGCAATATGAGAAAAGTGGATAAATTAGACTTCATCAGAATTTAAAACTTCTGGTGTTTGTAGACATCCTTAAGAAAATGAAAAAGCAATCCACCAGCAGGTAAAAAATATTCTCAATACATATATCTGACAGGGGACTTATATCCAGAATATATAAAGATCTCTTACAACTCAAGAACATAAGAAACAACTCAGTTTTAAAAATGGACAAAAGACTTGAATACACACTTCAAAAAATATGTATAAGTTGGCAGTAAACACATCGGGGAAATGAATAGTAAAGTCATAATAAGGTAATATTTCACACCCACTAATATTGCTAAAATTAATAAGATTGACAATACCAAAAGTTGACAAGTATGTGGAGCAACTGAAATTCTCATAAATTGTGATGGGAGTGTGAAGTGGTACAACCACTTTGAAAAATTACATGGCAGTTTCTTAGAAAGTTAAACAAGCATCTACTCTATGACCTACTAATTCCATTCCTATGGTATTTACCCAAGAGAAATGATAGCACATATCCACAAAAAGACATAAATGTGAATGTTAACTGCAGCTTTATTCATAACAGCCCCAAACTGGAAACAACCCAAGTGCCCATCAATGGGAGAATAAATAAACAGATTATAGTATATTCGTACAATGACTACTTCAGAGCAATTTTTTAAAAAATGAACTCCGCATACACAATAGCATGGATGAGTTGCAAAAGAACATGTTGAGCCAAAGAAGCCAGACACACAAAAATACATCCTCTTATGATTCTATTTGTGTGAAATTCAAGAAAATACAAAACTACTCTCTCTCGTTGAAATAAAATATTGGTTGCCAGGATGGGGTGGAGGGATTGACTATAACAGCCACAAGGGAACTTTCTGGGGTGATCGAAATGTTCTGTGTCTTGGGCTTCCCTGGTGGCGCAGTGGTTGAGAGTCCTCCTGCCGATGCAGGAGACACGGGTCCGTGCGCCGGTCCGGGAAGATCCCACATGCCGCGGAGCAGCTGGGCCCGTGAGCCGTGGCCGCTGAGCCTGCGCGTCCAGAGCCTGTGCTCTGCAACGGGAGAGGCCACAACAGTGAGAGGCCCACGTACCGCAAAAAAATAAAAGAGAACAAAAAAGAAGTGTTCTGTGTCTTGCTTGGAGTGATGGTCACATTGGATTTACACATTTACCAAAAGTCATTAAATTGTACACTTAAAGCCCTTGTACTTCACTGCTTATAGATTTTACCTCAACTCTTTACAAAAGTACTTAAAAACGTCTGTGCCTTCTGAGGGCATAGATAGGATAGCGCTTTGGCCCTCAAAGTATTGTGAGCACCATTGTTGTTTTATGCTTTATTGATTATAAAAAAACCATCTCACAACTGCCTTGGAAACTCTCACTTAAATAGAAGATTTATGTATATAATTGAGTTCATGTGAGGTGAAGAACTGATATAAAGACATCAGGAGTATAACTTTATTTTTCTTAAGTCCTAGAAGGTGACTTTAAAAAGGTTTAATTTTTTTGGAACATATTTACAAGATTATTAGGAGAAATTTTTTTTTTTTTTTTTTTTTTTTTTTGATAAGCATGCAAGGAAACATTCTGACCACATAAAGTAGAGGGTCTTTTTGGGGCAGAGGATGCAAGATTTTGTATTTTCTTAATACCCTTTCCAATGCTAATGTTCAAATGGTTTTGAATTTTTGATTGTATTGTAGCTGAAGTTTGCATTCAAGACCTACTTTCCTTATGCTTCTCCATCTCTTGTCATGGTGCTACTCCAACACCCGAAAGGTATGTGAAGGTTGATTCTGCCCATATTAAAATAACTTCTGGGAATACACTGATTAAATTATAACTGTTTCCTCCCAGTTCCTTATCTGTAAAGAGAATTGGTCATTGCTAACATCCTTTAAGCTCTCAGGGTCTCACATTCTGTGGATTTTGATGTGAGAATTTGCTTGAATTCCCAGTTACAATCATTTACCAAAAGAAAGAAAAAAGAACAAAATGGCCTCTAGTTGGGTTTTGATAGTCTGTTCTGGATAACACAAGGCCTCTGCTCGTGCCAGCCAGATCTACCTGGATGCCAGGAACAGGCTAAGACTTGGCTGACTTGGAATAAAACAGTATGTTTATTTGTATTTCATTCTTTCTACTCTGTGCCCCCTGTTGCAAAAGAAAAGATAAAATGATGAATGAAGCCAAGGAAGTTTAGTGGAAATTTCTCCTAACCAAGCCAAGGGAAGCCTTTTGAAAGAATTCAGTAAGTGTATTAGACCACAGCCCTCTCTGATTTCATTTGCCAGCCTTCCAGAGGCCATATCCAGTTGGGGGAAGTGATGATTCTGCCCTGATTCCACTGATGTTGATCTGTTAACATGCCTGTGAGCTCCTGTTTAGGAAACATTTCAGAAATAGAGAATATAGACATCCTTCCCGTCTAAAGCCTGAAATCTGAAGCAGAGGCAACACTGACACAAGACAGAGTCTGTGCTGTAGAAAAAGGCATTCATCTGACCATGGAAGGAAAGAGGAGAGAAAAGAGTAAAAGAATCCATAATATTTCCTTTTTATGCCGTTTTTTTCCCTGGCTTTTTCCTGAGACTTGAGTAAGTAAATTCATTTGAGGAAAGTATGATTCGAGGTTTCAGAGCATTTTACAAAATCAAAGTTCCTCTTCCTTGTTCTAAAAGATTAAGTTCTCACCCAAAGTGACCCATTTGATGCTATCCTCTCAGATGCTAGAGGTGGAGGTGGTAACAGGCCTGGTGGGATCTCTAGTCAACTGTTTTGTGGAACTTAACCTGTGGGGACACAATGGGAAAACTTTAATAACAAGACAGAAAAGTCAGTAATTCACTTTCCAGGGCCACGTCTCACAGCCTAAGTCAGATGAGCAAAGCCTAAGGTCAGCCTATGTGAGCAGCTGAATGAGCTCCAGAAAAAGTATTGGGGTTGTTATTTTTTAAATTTGGAAATCTATAAACAAAAGACTACCTCTGCTAGTTCCTAGAACAGTTTTCTGCATGTTACATTCAGAAAAATAATGTTACATTCACAAATTGAAGTGTTTTTTAACAGTAGAATCTTCTATTCATCAGAAATTGATTTTGTGCCCACTGTAAAGTCTTGTAGGCATAAAAGATGGGTCACTTATGAGCCCTGACTATCCAGGAGCTACAAGTAAAGAAGACATAAAATACATATCTAAACAACAAATAAAACGAAGAAAACAAAAATGCCTTCAAAGCCTGCAAATCAAGAGTTATGGGAGTTCAGAAGAGGGAGAGAGATAATTTATGATTCTTTAACATTTGTGGGGTAGTAGTGGTTATTGTATCACTTACATTATCTTTCTCGTGTATTTAATTACAGAACCTATCACTACATGGAAATGTGGTACCCTTTTTCAGATGTTGTTTAGAACTACAGATACATACATGCTCAGAAGTGTTTAAGACCATGGGAAAATTGTGAAACCAGAAAAACTAACTAAAGAAAAGACATATGTCTGTATGATACCCATGTACTTTTTCTGACCTTTTTTTTTTTTTAAAAAAAACTATACACCTGAAATCTTATTCTAAGTTCATCACAATCGTAGAAAAACAGTTGGGCAGCCCATTCCTAATTCCTTGTTGATTATTTTATTATAATCTCCATGTATGTTGAAATCACAGATTACTAGTGATATAGAGGAGGGGGTAGGTGAGTAGAAAAGAAAAAACCTGGGGCATCTTCCACATAGCCTTTGTAAACCCTACGGTGGGCTGCCTGTGCAGTCTCTGTCCACTCCCATGTACCCGAGTTAAAGAGCCTTTGAGTTTAGCTCTGTGTAACACTGACAGGTCTTTCTTCCCAGGCCAGGGACATAGATCCTGGCTGGGATCAGCATGAGAGCGGTGGTATGGATTCTGTGGACCAGGAAAATTAAGGCCTTTCCTCCAAAAGGCCTCTTCTGGTCTTAGCTGTAGATGATTCCTAATAGGTTTGACTTTTCTTCAGTTCCTCTCTGATGGCTCTCTCCACCCACAGATATCCCACAGGGACTTTGGCACCAGGCACTGAAACATATCTCTGAAATGCTCAAAGAAGTAGTTGAAGACCAAACTCATGGGTAAGCAAACACTGATGACTCGGTGGTCTGTTTCACACGCGTTTGCTCTGGATCCTTATCTTCCCTTTGAGCAGGCCTGACAGGGGAAGGCATTACAAGCATACCTCAGAGATATTGCAGGCTTCATTCCAGACCACAGCAATAAAGTGAGTCACATGACTTTTTTGGTTTCCCAGTGCATGTAGAAGTTATGTTTACACTATCCTGCAGTCTATTTAGTGTTCAGTAGCATTATGTCTAAAAAAAACAATGCACATACCTTAATTTAAAAATACTTCATTACTAAAAATTGCTAACCATTGTCCGAGCCTTCAGTGAGTCGTAAGCTTTTTGCTGGTAGAGGATCTTGCCTCGACCTTGATGCTGCTGACTGATCATGGTGGTGGTTGCTTTAGGTTGGGGTGGCTGTGGAAGTTTCTTAAAATAAGACAATATGACGTTTATCACATCAGTTGACTCTTCCTTTCACAAACGATTTCTCTGTAGCACGTAATGCTGTTTGATAGCATTTTACCCACAGCAGAACTACTTTCAAAATTGGAGTCATTCCTTTCAAACCCTGTCACTGCTTTATCAACTAAGTTTATGTAATACTCTAAACCCTGTGTTGTCATTACAACAGTCTCACAGCAGCTTCACCAGGAGTAGGTTTCGTCTCAAGAAACTACTTTCTTTGTTCATCCGTAAGAAGCAACTCCTCGTCCATTAAAATTTCATCATGAGATTGCAGCAATTCAGTCACATCTTCAGGCTCCACTTCTAACTCTAGCTCTCTTGCTATTTCTGCCGCATCTGCAGTTACTTCCTCCGCTGAAGTCTTGAACCCCTCAAAGTCATCCATGAGGATTGGAATCAACTTCTTCCAAACTCCTGTTAATGTTGATATTTTGACCTCTTCCCACGAGTCACAAATGTGCTTAATGGCATCTAGAATGGTGAATCCTTTCTTGGAGATTTTCAGTTTACTTTGCCCAGATCCCTCAGAGGAATGTATTTCTTAAATAGTGAGAGTTGAAAGTCAAAATGAGTCTTTGATTCATGGGCTGCAGAATGGCTGTTGTGTTAGCAGGCATGAAAACAACATTAATTTCACTGTACATCTCCATCAGAGCTCTTGGGTGACCAGGTGCATTGTCAGTGAGCAGTAATATTTTGAAAGGAATTTTTTTTTCTGAGCAGTAGATCTCAGCAGTGGGCATAAAGTATTCAGTAAAACATATTGTAAACAGATGTGCTGTCATCCAGCCTTTATTGTTCTATTAATAGAGCACAGGCACAGTAGATTTTTTAAAGGGCCCTAAGATTTTCAGAATGGTAAATAATAATTGACTGCAACCTAAAGTCACCAGCTACATTGGTCCCTAACAAGAGAGTTGGTCTGTCCTTTGAAGCTTTGAAGCCAGGCATTGACTTCTCCTCTCCAGCTATGAAAGTCCTAGATGGCATCTTCTTCCAATATAAAGCTATTTCGTCTACATTGAAAATCTGTTGTTTAATGTAGCCACCTTCATTAATTACCTTGCTAGATCTTCCAGATAACTTGCTGCAGCTTCTACACCAGCACTTGCTGCTTCACCTTTCACTTTTACATATGGAGATGGTTTCCTTCCTTAAACCTCATGAGCCAACCTGTGCTGGCTTCAGACTTTTCTTCTGTAGCTTCCTTACCTCTCTCAGCCCTCATAGAAATGAAGAGAGTTAGGGCCTTGATCTGGATTAGGCTTTGGCTTAAGAGAATGTTGTGGATTGTTTGATCTTCTATCCAGACCACTACAACTTTCTTCATATCAGCAATGACTGTTTTGCTTTCTTATCATTCGTGTGTTCACTATAGTAGCACTTTTAATTCCCTTCAAGAACATTTCCTTTGCATTCACACCTTGTCTAACTGTTTGGCGCAAGAAGCTTAGCTTTCAGCGCATCTCAGCTTTAGACATGCCTTCCTCACCAAGCTTTATAATTTCTAGCTTCTGATTTAAAGTAAGAGACGTGCCACTCTTCCTTTCACTTGAACAGTTAGAGGCCATTGTAGGGTTATTAACTGGCCTAATTTCAATATTGTTGTGTCTCCTATGGAGGCCCAAGGAGAAGGAGAGAAAATGGACAGTTGGTAGGGCAGTCAGAATACACACATTTATCGATTAAGTTCTTCATCGTATATTGGCACAGTTCATGGCACCCCAGAACAATTACAATAGTAACAAGGACCATCGCTGATCACAGATCACCATGACAAATATAATGGAAAAGTTTGAAATATTGTGAGAATCACCAAATTGTACACAGACAAGAAGCGAGCAAATGCTGTTGGAAAAATGAAGCCAATAGTCTTGCTCGACGCAGGGTTGCCACGACCTTCAGTCTGTGAAAAAACACAATTACCTGTGAAGTGCAGTAAAATGAGGTATGGCTGTATTGGTCTGTTTCCATCCCCAAACAGGTAAGCACACTGCTGAGTAAGAAGTGGAGGAAGCACTTTGAGCAGCTCAGAATAAATAGGCTGCACGTGTAAATGCCTGGCATAGAAACTGTCCTGAGTAATGGCTAGTGTTAGGCTTTGAAATGTACAAGCATAACAGTAAAAATAATAGACCTTAGGAAAAAAGCAGTGCTCACATGCTGCAACCCCTGGCCTGCAGAACGAGAAGGTGCACCTCTCTGGGCCCTTCTCTACCTCTCTAGGGAAGGAAATTCTAATCTTCTCCTGCCCAGTAGGATGAAATGTTTCATTTCCTCCTCCTTATAATAAATATTTGTCTAAAATTAGAAAATCCATTCTAACATAAAGTAATTTCTAACATTATGACATTAGGTACCCTCTTATATGTGTTATTTCCCTAGAAGCATTCACATTTAGGCTTTGCTAAGTTCTTTGTAACATAGTACCCTTCGGCTTCCTCTTAACTTCTTTGCTTTTAGAGTATACATATTTTATTCATTGTCTATACTAGCCTACTAATACTGTCTTTATTTGTTGCCACTTTTCCTTCTTGAAATTCTCTATAATCTCATTACTGAGCCATCACATATTATGGCTGGTGCTCTTCTGTTCATCATCACTGATGCAGGTTTGGGTGCCAGTTACTCACTTACACAGCCTCCCTCCCCGACCCTGCCCCCAAACTCTTACCAGTAGAGGAGACAGACAGAACTGTTAGCCAAGTGGGGATCAGAGGATTGGCCATATTAACGACCTGCCATACCCTGGCAGCCCCATACACACCCCTTCTGGTTGTCTCTGTTGAAGAGCAGGGCCTAGACCCCAAACCTCTTGGGGCTCCTGCCTAACCCAGATCTGCCTCAACTAGGCTTCAGGGCCACCTGCGGGGAGGGCTTTGTGAGCAGCTTTAGGCACCTTCTCAGCCAGCCCCATGGGACTGCATTGCACACTTGGCTGCTAGAGGAAGAGAGGCAGGATGACCAGGCCTTGAGCCATGATCCAGGAGGGATGCCCATGTAGGGGCAGTGAGCATGGGGGAGCCTTGCTCAGCTCACTCATCCGTGAGGCCTGCAGGAAGGAGACCCCGTGGAGCTGGTTCCTTGCTTCTGAGACATAACCCAGCCCACTGCTCATGTGGCCCCTGGAGCATCAACTCTCCCTCTTGTGCGGACAAGGGAGTAAGACTAATGCTCCTCCTCCTTCCTTTTCTGTCATTGTTCTGCAAGTTAGATTTCAGAACATTTAATCACTTGTTTTCGGGGAGGACTTGAACAGGAGGCGAGCAGTGACTAGGAGAGGTGGGAACGGCGCTGGCTTGGGGATTCCACGGGCCAAGCAGGGGACCATGCACCCAGATCCAGCAAAGATGGAGCGCTGCAGAGGGGCTCAGAGCTTTCCTGTTCTAGGAGCTTCCCCAGTTCAGAAGGAAAGGTCTGCTCTATGTTAATCTCAGGCCAGTCCTGCTCCATTTCTCCCAGGGGAGATGTTAAACTGCTAGGACTGTCACTATGCAAAATTAGTGGGTCCTTATCTTAAGCAGAGTCTACCCTTTATTGCAACTCCCGGTTCCCTGTGGGACAAAAGGATAGCTTCACAAAGCTTTAACTTTTCAGCATTGATGTATACTTGATAACAGGAAAGAGTACAACATACAGCTCATTAAAAATTCATAATTGCCAAAATACTGACCAGAATCTTTTGTCTTGTGAGAAAAGGGATAGCACGTGTTTCGGCCTGCGTCCCTTCTCTGGTCTCCGTCTGGACCCCAGGGAGCCCCCTCGTTTCTTGCTCGGGGCTACCTGGTGGCTGCCTGGTGGCTGAGGGGCCCCACTCTCCACAGCAGCCCAGCTGTGCAGGCCACGCAGAAGGCAGAGCGGTGGGCCTGCAAGTTCTCATCTTGCATCGTTCTTGATGATCATGGGCCAGACCCTTCCTTTCTCGAAGGCCTGTTTTCACTCAGTGTCCCTGGATGACCTTGATTTAAAGATTTAAATGTCTGAGGTCCTCAGGGCACCTGAGGTTTTGAGAGGCATGCCATTGAAAGTCTTGTGACAGGTTCAGGGCGGCATTGTGAGCTCTTTTTCTGAGGCTAACTCGTATTCCTTGCAAGTTGTACTTCAGTGGATAAGAACAATTGAAGCCAACCATTCACAAACAAAAGTTGCTTTAAGAACCTAAAGGAAAAAGAAATCAAGTTGCCCTCCTGCCATGTGTTTTGGTTCTGTTCCAGGTCCTACGGAGGCCCCTTTGAGAGCTGGTTTTTGTTCGTTCACTTTGGAGGATGGGCGGATATGGCGGCTGAGCAGTTACTGACGTCGGAAGCTGAGGCTGAAGCTCCAGAGGCCCTGCTGTGGCTCCTGGCTTTCAGCTGTGGTCCAGGAGCTGGGCATCAGCAGAGAGCACAGACCATGGTGGGTGGCCAGGCCTATGGTGTGCGGCCTCAGGATCAGTCTCTCAGGGGCTAGAAGGGGCCCTGCAGTGGGTTTGGACTTCACTGACCCCCAGGCACCTCAGCAGGTACATGCAGACATCCGCCTGGACGAGTGAGTGGGAGCTGGGCCTGTGGTCGAGCTGTTTTCCTGCCCTCAGGAGTGAACTGGAGGCCAGGCGCTGCCTGATGTCCTGGGAGGCACCGAGGAGATGAGGTGCAGCCCTTCCATCCCTGGGTCATTTTATCTCTTCTTGGTCACTGCCACTCTGTCATGCTTCACAGGCGTGCCTGGCCCTGGGGCCGCTCCTTCCAGGGGATGCCATGCAGGGTCTGACCGCTCTTCTGAGGAGCATC